TATGTGTGTGTGTGTGTGTGTGTGTGTGTGTGTGTGTGTGTGTGTATACATATATATATATATATGGATCTTTGGTTATTCGGGTTTTCTCCCGCGTAAGATTCAAAGTATCTAGGCAACGTTTCGGCGAGGTCCCACTCACCATCTTCAGGCTGGTGCTTTCGGCTTAGTGCCAGTGCAAGCAGTGTGTGACCGGAGCTGCCATCTCTCTATATATACAAGTGGTGGGGGATGGTGTGCTGGGCTGGTTGGCTGTGCTGCAGCCTCTTGATTGGTTGATGGAGTTGATGTTGGTATAATGGGCTGTGTAGTGGCCTTTTGTTGTAGAGATATCCTGGATCTTGTGCTGTCATCTCCTGGGTCGTTAGCCTCTTGTGTTTTAACGGCTTGGGTAATGGGTTGTGTGATGGGCTTGTGAGTTCTTTTGTTGTGGTATCCTGGGTCTTGCGTTGTAATCTCCTGGGTCGTTTGTGTTTTGATCTCTTTTCGATTAGCCTCCTGTGTAGTAACAGCTTGGGTAATGGGTTGTGTGATGACCTTGTGAGATTTATTGCTGTGGTATCCTTGGTCTTGTGCTGTGATATCCTGGGTCATTTGCTGTGTTGTGACTTCTTGAGTTCTTGAGGTGTAATTTCTTGAGTTTTCTGATGTGATGTCCTGAGCGGGTGGCTGTGATGTAGCATTTTGGGTTTTTAATATGGCTTTGAGTTTGGGGTCTGGGTCTGTGTTCGTTTGGCTTCGAGTTCGTGGTCGTGCCACATCTTCATGGTGGGGGTCAGTTCGCTTCATGTATGGTTCAGAGGAGTTTGAAGTGGGTAGTGATGCAGCTGCAGTGCGGCTTCTGGTCTGTGGTCATGTCTCATCTTCTGTGTGGGTGTGAGTCTGATTTTTACGTGGAAGTGTGGTGGTGGCATCTTGTGTGGTGGTATATATATATATATATAATTACCAACTGGAAACTCCTTATGGACTTTATGTGTAAAACAGAAAAAAATGAATTCATGATCTATGGTTTTGATGATTAGATAGACTAGATTATAGGCAGAAGAGAGTCATGATATACCTTTAGAGAAAGGGGTAAATCTGAAAAGATGATGAGAAGTCACTTATTTAAATCTTTTTTTTTTCTTTTCTTTTTTTCTTTCATCTTTTTTTCTTTTTGCAATTTAACTTTCTCTTTTATTTCTTCCTTTTTTCATACTCTGTTCTAGTTTGCATAATTTTGAAACATTATGAAATCATTTTGAATCATTGTGAAAGCATCCAATTAATTGCAAACAAGAGTGACCAGACCAGATCAATTTCAGATGAACTGTAAAGAACAAAAAGTTAATATTTTCTTAAAGTTGAAATTTGTAAATATAAATAATTTTTGTTGCCAGCTTATGAAAAAGAGATTGGACAACCATGGTATAAGGTCTCCTGTTAGAATAGGGGGTTGGATTAGAAAATTTCCAAGGTACTTTCAACCCTTCTATGTTCTATGAATATATGTTGTATTATTTTTACTCTTGTTTTTAAACTTTTAGAAAAAAATAAAGGGAGAGAGAAGGAATGTTGGTGACTCACTGCTGATGCCGCTTTGCAGAATGGTAATCCCTTTTAAGCATCCTGTATCAACAGTCAGCAAAATGCTTTCCTCTTCTTGACAAATCCCTGCCGTGTTCTGCTGACCACAGAATTTCAAGTCTTTGACAAGTTAAAGTACCTCCCACAGGGACAAGCCCACTACATTTTGTGAACTGTATAATGGAGAAAACATTGTAACTCATTAAAATCTGATAGTATTTGTATACATCTCACATACCAACTTAATGAAAGAAGAGGAAAGACTTCAGTTGTTTCTTTTTCCACTGTCTCCAACCTTCCAGATGCATGAAATTATAACTTCCGTCATGCCTGGCCAGTGGCAAGCTGGCTAGCATAATACAGATTGGTGGCATTCACAGAAAAGGTTCATAAAAATCAAGATGGCAGTCACAGCAGCATCATTTAATCCTGGGGGCACCGTGGTTAAAGTGCAGTATTGCAGGCAAATTCTGCTGACAGCGTGAAGTTTGATCTGATGTGGCTCATGGTTGACTCAGATCGGTAAAATGAGGACCCAGATTGCTGCGGGCAATATGCAAAAAATGTTTACACTGTGAACTGCCCAGAGAGTGCTGTAAAGTGCTATGGGGTGGTATATAAGCCTAAATGCTATTGCTGTTAAAGCCCCACATCTTATATTTCTAAATCAATTCTAACTGCCCTGTTTGGCATCAAGTAGTTAATCTCTGGGCATTAAGCACTGCAAGACGCATTGCTTAGGAATCTGCTGTTTCTATCAGCTTAAGGGAAATAACATGTTTTCTTCAGCATGCACTAAAACTAAGTGGAGCTAGGACCAACTGTGGAAAAGATTTCAGGATTTTAAAGAGTGACATGGGTTTCTTGAATCTCAATATAACTTAAAGATTTGGTGTTAACCTTAATATCTCCCTCTCGCCCAATTATTTAATATTTTTAAAATGATTAAAAACTGGGGTTTACCACCTCTGGTTTTGGGTTCTCAAAAATCTATCAAGTTATTGGGACCTCTAAATTGTGCTTTCTGCATCCCTGGCTAGGCTATAGTGGGGTGTTTTTTTAGTCTTTATTTATTCAATAGCCCACAATTGTATGTATTTGTATGTGGTTCTGACTATAAACAATAATGATGCAAGGCTTATAAATGGCTAGATTCAAAGATGTGTGATCCCTGAAATGCTCTCCTTCATTTATTGATCTCCTTCAGCTTTGAGGCAACTGCACAGTAAAATTGAGTTTCAGTGGTACACAAAGCATGATTGCTTGTAGAAACTGCAGACCCAACATCTGTAATGCCTCCTCAATGCCCATGGAGTTCCCAATACATTTCTAGAAACATTACAAGAGTTAATATGACATAAGATTGCCGAGTTTTGTGAGATTTCAGGGTTCTCATGGAAGTTCATATGGGTTTTTAATGTTCCTATCCAAGATCTCTTCAGATTTCAAGGAGACGTGGCTAAAATTCCTAAAATCTGAACATTTAATGAGATTTTAAATAATTCTTCTTAAAAATATTATATCCTGGAGAATGCACCAGACCTACTGCACAAGGCGATCTGATGATACACAGCGCTTTAAGATAGCAATATTGTAATAAATATTCAGAGAACCTAACACTGCTACTCTTGTGTTATTGCTATATTAGTATCTTTATCATTCCTTGTCACAACCTGCTGTGGAAAGGAGGACTTATTTTTACTGATACATGATGAATGAGAAGAATGCATTAAGAGACTGCTGAAATATGGTATGGGAAGCTGAATGGCTGAATCACCTAGTATCGATCTTCTTTTATGGACCAAGATTTTGTTTGTCAAACATCTACAGAGCAGGCACAAATCTACAGCTGAAACTTTTACTGGCAGGAAGATACAAAAATGGGAGATGCTCCAACTGTTGATTTTCCCCCCCCCCCATCACAGGTAGCTATTGAAGTAAGTCTCAGAGCTGCTGTCTATTAACAGATGGTACTTCTATATTTCAGCAGATATATATTTAGAATACTCACTGAAGCAGAGCCCATTCTTATAATTTTACCAGGCTGTGAGTTTATATCATACCACTCAGCCATCACTGTAGCAATGTGAAGTCTGTCTTGATTTGTGTTGTATATTGTCACAGAGACGGCTGGATGACACTATCAGTCCCTAGTGCAGAAATGCTCTTAAGACATGATACAACTAAGGCAGTTTGAAATGCCTCAAAACAAGCTTTGTTCATCCCACAAAACAAACTATATGAATTAAACAACAAAGACTGAAGTGCCATCTACTGGAGTTGTAAGCATTCGCACAAAGTTGGAACTCTTCTCAGATTTCTTTTACCATGATACATCATTGGTTGGATGGAAAAGTGGGATATAATGGGTATGTAAAGCATGGCTTGTTAGCATCTTTTCTGCAGCCTCCACAATCCCATCATTCTGGATGAGACCTGATTTTCAGCCTTATTTTTTTCCTTTTTTTCTTTTCTTTTCTGTTCTTTTCTTTCTTTCTTTTTGATGCAGGGGATATTTGCTTATTTTAGAGTATGCTGAGGATGAAGAGAATAGACCCTCACAAACATGAGTTATGGAGTTCCACCCTTGCTATGCCATTTATATGTATGTTGTCCTGAAATTAATAGAAGTTGTGCATTCCCACAGTAGGTTAAAAAAGATTAGGTTTGGGTTAAAATTTTAACTCTTACCATTTTAATGTTTATACTGTTTTATGTTTTAATGCTTTATTGTACACTACTGAGAGCCACTCTTTGAGGGATATGGGCAGTTCATAAATGTGAGGGAGGAAAGGAAGGAAGGAAGGAAGGAAGGAAGGAAGGAAGGAAGGAAGGAAG